CAAAGGGTCCAAAGTACTTATATAGTAGACCGAAGAATGTAGCGTCTCTAGTTTAGGAATCATTATCATGTTTTGGAAATGTATCCCTCATGACAGTACCGAATCGTACCTGGGACCCTCGGCGGTCTTGTTGAGGATTGACGGGAAAGTCTGGTCCAGGGCGTACTCGGGTATGCGACGTGTAGAAACAGAGACTATAAACAGCAAATGACAATTAATAACGGACCCTCCAAGCATTGCATAGAAGGGTTTCGAGCTGAAGCCTTGAATGGGACGGCTACCTCAATTTACGGCTTAGGCCCTGTTCTGGACAACCAACTGCGACGTCTGGAAACTGTGCGAACAACTCCTGAAGGGAACTCAGTGCATATCGAAAACCTAAGGTTACATGTAGGGTAACCCCATTGAAGGTACTACAGCCTTTAACCCCAAACCCGACGTACTTATTTTTCCTCACAACCCTCCAGTAACCAAAACAAGCGGCTGCTTCCTGAGAATCGTTTCGTGCGAACCACGCCTAGACTCTTTCCATAGGGTTTGATATGGCTGAGTGGAAATACCGACCTAAACCCTAAACCCTAAACTGGTATTCTCTTTTATAGTTAGGGCCCTGTGAGCTGATGCTACGGTAACCAACAAACGTACTGCAGGAAGAACATGCCAAATCCACACAGCTATCCTATCTAGAACGACATAAACCCCCAACACAAAATCAAACAGCTAGGAACTTAATGAGAAGCACCAGAAGAGCATCTTGAGCTACACTGTCAACTGGGTAACATCCCGCCGCATGTGTATAGATGTCAATAGTTGTGTTGACTTGCCTTGTTGTTGGTCCTTAGCCGAAACTAAGCGGCGCACGTTTAGCCCAAAGGGTCCTAAGTAGCTATATGGGGGACACTTGCCCAAACTATGATAGTATCTCCCATTATAGAGATCCTCCATTATTCTATGTAGGTACTTAGGACCCTAAAACCCTAAATCTTCTAACTCTGAGCCCTGACTAAATCCGAAACCACTAAACCCTAAACCTTAAACCCTATCCCCTAAATCCTTTAGGTACAATCGCCGCCCTAAACCCTAAACCCGAAACTAAAATCGCTGCCGAAGAGGCTGATCACCTTCGACTCCTGCAGTGTGTCGATCAAGCTCAGGTCGTCCAGGAGCGATCCCTGGAGACAGAGGGTGAAAGTAACGGTTTGGGGTTTAGGGTTTAGGGGTAAGATAGCATTAGTAGGAGTAACAGATATGCTTCATCTGCAATACGGTCGATGATATAAATCTTGCATTAGTCATAATAGGGAATATGCCATACTTCCCATAGTTTAGGGTCCTTATGGTAATGCAGGATTTATATCTTCAATGGTAGTAAGGTAGTGTTAGTAGGAGTAACAGATATATGCTTCATTAGCAATGGTGCCTAGAGTTACTTAGGACTTAGATAGGGTTTGGGTTTTGCTCAAGGTTTCGGGGTTGGGACCATCGTACTGCCGAGGGCTAAGATGGGATGAACCCACCCTACCCAGTAGTGCGCTTTTTGCTTGACTTCCCGAGAGGGTCGAGTCCATATATACGACTATCATGGAACTTGGTCCCCTAAACCATAATGAGGATGGTCTTCGGGGACCTAACTCCATACTGACTCCATACTACTAGTATATATGGACCTCCTGGGTTAGTTTCATATCGTGGTGTCAAAACTCATAACAGTAAACTGGGATACAGAAAGAAAAACCCTAAACCCGAAGTGACCACATACGAGGGTGGAGGCGTGCGCCCCAAGCCGGAGCAGTCGCTCTGTGGTTCGAGCCTGTACCCTTTCCTACTCCTAACCCCCAAGCCCGACAACGGTTCATGATTTAGGGTTCACGGTGTCTGAGAACCAAATTCCAAAGCCGAAGCTCCACTGCCGAAACACAAGGAGAGGGAACCTCCCTAATGATCTAGAGACTATGAGGGGTAGTCATTTACGCCTCTATACTACATCGGCCTTCGTCTCAGCAAGAAGGCGGAGAATATCGTTCTCGAGCTCCACCAACCGGTTTCTGCCTTGCACGAGTCTGTGAGTTTGGATGTTCTGAATGTAGAGGTTTGGGGGGCTTCATGCCTCTGGGTAGTGGGGTTGTGTCGTTTAGGGTTTTTTCGGGTCTAGGGGGTTCGGTCTTGGCGCCGTTTCAGTGCGTAGGGGTTCAGGGTCTAGGGTGGTTTAAGGCTTAAGGTTCGGTATTGGCTGGCATGACTCGGGAATGGCGAAATAGTGGCTTCGGTAGTTCGGGTGCAGCGGTATCGGGTGTAGGAGGCACTCCATAAAGAAAGTTCTCCGGCCGGCCTCATGATCCTACCTGGCTTGCAGATGCTGTTTGTGGTAGACACTGGGGCGAAACCCTCACTCTTAAACCACTGTCTGGTGCTTAGTCGGGAATGGGGGAATGGATCCCTATGATAGTCCCTTAAGGTCCGTTATAGTAGTCCCTATAACCCATTCCCCCATTCCCTACTAAGCACCAGACAGACCAGGTACATGTCGAAGGTTCTGCAGACACCGGAGACTTGTACGTATTCCTCCGCAGAAACCCTCGAAAGCCCTACGCAAATGTCCGTTGGCATGTGAAACACGGGCATTCAGCATGTGTTCGCAACCCCAGTCCCTAATCACCCAACCCTAAACCCCAAGCCATAAACCAACATCCCAAACCCGTAACCAAACTCGCAACCCTTAACCCAAGACCCCCAATCCGGGTCGTTCATGTTCCCAGAGACTCCAAAACCCCTTAATTAAGGAGTATACTTTAAATTATAATAGGATCCCTAATATGATTTAAGGTATATTCCTTAATTAAGGGATATTGGAGTCTCTGGGTTCCTGGCCTTTTGCAACTTGGAAGACAAGCTTGTTCTTCTCGTCCTCGAGTATTTGCGGAACTAGGGATTGGTACTTCAAGGTTGAGGGCCAACTATCGGACTCGAAGCGGTTAGGTATTCTACTGGGTGTGCAGATGTTTGAGAGTGTAGGGCGAGATTCGATTCATAAATGTGCCCTAAATCTTGCTCGAAGAGCGTGGCTGAGTGTAGATGGCACAGCCGTGGAGTCTACGATACCCAAGGGAACATCGAATCGCTTCATTGATGAAGGGTTACTCCTGGAGATCTCGTCCAAGGCGCTCACTCAGATCTATGGGTGCGGGCAGGGGCGAAGGCTACCCACAGAGCCCGGCACCTGTTAATTCAAGGCAATTCCTGCGACCACATCGAAGGAACCCATATGCATTCCTCAACTGAGGGGTTGAAGAGTTAAGGGCTTGGGGGCTGGAGGAAGGTTTTAGCCTTCAGTGTGAAATTCTTTTTGGACTCCTGCGCAATCCCCAAGCAACATCCCACCGGTTTGATCCCCTAAACCCTACAATAGAAGCCAGAAAGTTGGAACATTGTTATTACAATGTTGCATGTCCTAAAGGTAAAGTATAGGGGATACTAGCACGAATCATCCTAAATTCATGTTCCAACTTTGTGGCGTTCACTAAAAGATCTCACCGTTATGATCTTTAGGCAGCGGGGAGGGGCATTTCAGCAATCAACTGCCGACCTGCAAACCACACACACCCAGACCCTAAACCATGAAACGACAGGAGTACTAGCTCCTTGCACCCGAAGGCGGCAGTATCGTCGGGCTTCTGCTGGGACGATGTTCTATTTACTTGCCTAGTATCCCTATCGAAGCACCGTACTGTAAGCCTCAACCCTAAACCCGAAAACCCTAAACGCAAAAAAACCTTAAACCCCAAAACCCAAAGCCCCTAAACCCTAAGCAGGCAGCAGAGGCTGCAACCGAGGTCTAGAGCTTCGTAGCTTAGGCTTGAGCTTCGGACCTAGGACTTAGCACTTGGGGTTTAGGATTTAGGGGTTTAGGGTTTAGGGTTTAGGGATAAGGGTTTAGGGGTTTAGCGGAACTTACAGTGAATTCCATAGGCTTGGAAAACCTCATTGCCCTTCAGCACTGAACATCCTGCTTCGAGTGGTTCTTGCTTCCAGCTTCTTGGGGTTTACTTTGAATTTGTTGAAGGTTAAGGATTTCTAGTTTGGGATTCAGCCCTAGACCCTAAACCCTGGACCTTAGGGTTTGGGGAGGTGTCACGGTTTTGGGGTCTCCGGCTTGGGGCCTAGACCCTGTCCCACCTCCAAGCGCGAGTCTTCGCTTCGAACAATCACGCCCAGAAGCCTGGTTGAGCAAGAGCGAGTCCCGACTTTCGGCGTTAGCCTTAAGTTAGTTTCGGAGAGTTTCGAGTGCTAGGGTCAATGTAGGGGCCTGAAAAATTAGAATAGTGTTTTGGGGGATATTATACTATAATATATAATTATAACAAGGAACCCTGTGAATAGTATAATGAATTATTAAGAACCCAATACTGGGCGGTTTAGACCTCCCAGCCCTGAGCCCAGCTCAGGGCCGTAGTACTCGCGAAACCGATCAAACGTTGAAGCAATTAAAAGCGAAAAGGGTTTAGGGTTTAGGATAATGAGGTACTTGGGTTTAGGGTTTTGGGTTAAGGGTCTAGGATCATGAAGTACTTGGGTTCAGGGTTTAGGGTTTAGGGGCACAAACTAGACCCTGACAACCACTTAGACCCCACAGCCTGGAGCCAAAAACCACACAACGCTTAGGGCTCAGGGCTTGGGTTTAGGGTTTAGGGTTTACAACTTCGGGACGGAACCGCGGAATCGCAAGAACCAGTTCCAGCAAAGAGGCTGGTTGGTAAGGCCATCCAGGACCACGATGAAATTCACCTTGTGGAGGCTGTGTGGGTCCCAGCAGGGTTCTAGATGATCTCCCAAAGAAAGAACTATAAACCTCCCTCTTCTTTCATACCTAGACCCTCCAACTTACCCTCCGTTATAGCCCCTAAACCCTAAACCCTAAACCGTGACGGTCAAGAACCACAAGGGCTAAACCCCAAGCCCCCGAAGCCAATCCCCGAGATAAGGCCTTAAGAAGCTTCAGACGGTAGCCGCAAGCCCTTTGAATTCAGCCGGCCCTTGCATCCTACGGTTGATGAGCTTCCTGCAAGCGAAGGCGCGATAGTCGTCTTCGTGGAGACTTCGGGCGTGTAGTGTGGATTCGACAGCTTCGTGGTGATGTAGAACCTGCAGCTCCAGGCGTTAGGCTTCAGACCTTACCAGCACCCCCCAAGTGCCCTTTGATAGAGCCCTTATGGTCCTTAATAATGGGTATTTGGGGTATAATAGAGGGTAGCCGGGGGGGTGCTGGTAAGGTTTAGGGTTTTGGGGGGTTCAGGGTTTCAGGATTTAGGGCTTCAGGGCTCCAAAGAGAGCTGCTGCTAGTCGAAGCTGGATGGCCCCAAAACCCGCACCCTAAACCCGCTTGAATTGAAGTTGAAGGTTTCCAGGACACAGGATCTTTCAGAAATAAGAGCGCAAATTATAGAAGGTTGAATAGTCAATAGTAGGATCCTGAATGTGAAGACGCCAGATACCACGAAACCCTAAACCATACACCGAATTTCTGAAGTCATCTGTTGGTCTAGAGATTCAACCTTTTGTAGCCTGTGCGGAGTCTTGGTTATTCCTGCAAAGCAGCATGCGAGCCCTGGTGAATAGCACCCTTCTTCCATATTGTTGATATAGTTTGGGGATATTTAGGGCTTAGGGCTTATAGGGGTGGGCAGAATCATGCGCGACCCTAACTATCCCCAAACTACGCTGAAGGATTGTGTCCATCAGCCGTGAGGAGTGTAAGCGGGATGTCCGTACGATCGCCCGCAAATCACGCTTAGTACCCAGGTGTGCGCACTATCAGCCCTGGTGTGTGGCAGGTTTTCTGGAAAGATCATGGGAGTAAGAAACCCTAAACCCACGGGATTGTATAGGTTTTACGGGAAGGAGGGGCACTGAAGGACTTCTAGGTTCCCCCAGTAGCCCCTACATAATAAGGGCACCCTTTTTCCTACTACTTGGGTTTGTAAAGGGAACCCAAAAAGAAAAAGGGCAAAGGGGTACTGGAGAACCCTAAACCCTAAACCTGAACTACTGGGGAACCCTAAACCCTAAACCCTAAACCGTTACTACTGGGAAAGGGGTACTACTGAGGAACCTCAACTTTTGAAGCGCGAAGCCCTCGACCCCGAGACGCTCCGCACTGTCATTTCGAAGGCTCAAACCTGAACTATTTAAGCCCCAACCCAAGGGGTCCATGTGCCCATACAGTATATACTTTGGCCTTAAAGTAGTCCCTATATGGGCACTTTGGGGCCAAGGTATATACTATGTGGGTACATGGACCCTCTGGGCAACGGAAAGCACCAATCATCTGAAAGCCTTGAAATGCCAAGCTTGCTCCTAAACGGACGTCCCAACGACACGGTCGTTTGGAGAGAGTTGCGAACAATCATATCGATAAGACCGAGAACCGATGTGCAGGAGGGTTGACCCCAAACCCTGTATAAACAATTTTGTTGCTATCCATTTGGGGTTTCCGAAAATAGGGGACCCTAATATAGCACCCTAAATAGTAGGATCCTTATTATAAGGACCCCCAAAATAAGGTACCCCCAATTTTCTGAGACCCCCATTTCGAAACAGATTGGCCCCATCAAGCCAAGCAGCATGAACTGAGGATTGTAGTCCAGAACATTGTCGCCCACTTTGATGGAGAGACTGCCTCATGACGTTGTGACATTGTGAGTTAACAGCTGTTTGTGATAATAATAACATTAACGGTTTCAAGAGACTTGCAAAAAGGGCTTATAGCACAACGCCTTTTATAGGAGCTTGCAGATGCACGGCAAGCCAGGTAGGAACACGAATTACAAGCCTAACTCGGAAACAAAAAAGCCTAAGGAATAGAACGCGGAGATTGGGCTGGAGGAACCAAGAGTTTCATAGTTGCAGCTGAATGTTGAAAAGTGCTAGACGTCATCTGCGGCCTACGTGTCATGAGCTACTGCCGTTGTTGCAAGCAACCTCAGGCAAAAGCCATACTACGTAGAACCCGACGTGCCTGTAAGGCTGAACTATCACCAATGAAGACTGTCTGCAGCTCTTACTGCTCTTGCGGAGGTCGGATGCGGGGTGAGGACTGCGCGGAGACCTACGGTAGCTATCAAAACGGGGAGGTACGGTTGGGGTGTCACTTAGGGATGTCCTTGCATTAACTCCCACAGCCGCGTTTAGGTGTCTTGCAGAGAGTGTTTTGCACAGAGTTTAGAGGTCAGGCCTGTCCCTCCACATTGGTACTCTCTGCCTCGATGACTTTATAAACCCGTCAAGAAGGTACAGTAAGGTATTTGGGTTTAAGGTCGGGCCTATGGAAGTCCTGAACTTCACAAACCATAGACTGTAGTGGACACTGAACCGGCCTAAAACCGACACCGAAGTCGAAACGCTGGCAACCAAAGCATATGCTACATCTAAGGGTTTAGGGCTTAGGGTTTAGGGTTTAGGCTTAGGGTTTCGGTTTAGGGTTTAGGGTTTGAAAGGTTTAGGGTGTCGCCTCCACCGGCGTCGATGATGTTCTTGGCTAGGATCGGCTCGAGTGATGGGTCGAGTTCCTGACGCAGAGATCTGGCTGCCCCTTAGCCTACAAAAGAGCGTTGCATTCGGCCTTAAACTTTAAACAGCAGTCAATAACCATAGCTGCGACTTAGGGTTTAGGCTTTTGGGTTTTACCTAGGTGTTTTAACACCTTATCCCACCGAAGCTGCGGCTTACGGCTAGGCTAGGCTTTTGGCTTTTACCAGGGTGTCTTAACCCCTTATCCCACCGAAGAGATTCTTTGCTTCAGCTAACCCAAGTGAGGCCTTAGGGTTCAAGGTTTATAGATCTAAATCCCTAAACCCTAAAAGCCCTAAACCCCCAAATCCCTAAACACTAGAAGCCCTAAAAGCCCTAATCCCTAAACCCTAGACCCCCAAACGGCCTAAACCCTATATCATTATAGAACCCTATAGATCCCTTCAAGGAGCCCTTTATTTAAGGAACCACCAAAACCCTAAACCCCCGAAACCCTACACCCTCAAGCCTAACAGCCTTTGGGTAACCTACGCCTCGCCCACGTTCTCCAAGAGCACGGGTGCGCCGAACTCAATGGCACGCTCGAGCGACTTCATGATATCCTCAGGGCCAAAGTCGATTGTAGGGTTTAGGGTTTAGGGTTTAGGGTTTAGGGTTTAGGGTTTAGGGTTTAGGGTGACGTCATGATATCCTCAGGGCCGAGGTCGATCCCTAAAGGGTTCCTTTAAGGGTTTGGGGCATAGGGCAGTCTACGGTTTGGGGGTTAGGGCGTAGTAGAATAGTATCCTCAGGGACCCCTAAAGCCCTAAACCCTAAACCCCCAAAAACAATCCTAAACCCCTAAAGCCCTACACCCTAACC